TTAACACCTAGCACCAATCCCCTTAACCCCCTCTCCCCCCCCCACAGGGGGACATTTCAGTTTCTCAGGAAATTGCACTACCAAAGGAGGGGGTGGAGCAGTTGCCAAAGCTGACAATTTGATGGATAACTGTGTGTGGTTTTTCATTATCTAGACTGCAAATATTGGGCAACGGTCAGCAGCGGGCAATCGTCCAGCTTGTAGCCACCACCGTTGAGTTGACTACATGCAGCTGCGTTAAGATAGATCTTTTATCTCAATTCTGTTTATTCCATCAGCCTCTAAAAGGAGGTAAACATTGATGTCAGCCTCTGATTTTGAAAGATGATTAGGCTGCTCAGGCCAATATCAACAGGCCTTCTCCTTTCTGGACCTTTGCAAAAAAATAAATAAATGTAATGTCGGCAAGAACGAGGATCACAGAGGGGCGGGAGAAGTGCAATCAAAGCCATACCTTCGTTTTGCAACTTCCGTCTTGTTTCAAGATAAGCCTCCTTGATTTGCACAGAACTGGTGATATCCAGCTGCAGGATGGAAAGCCTTTCGGAGCAGGTCTCCTTCAGCGTTTTGGCACCGGGCCCCGTTGCGTTTAACACGCCGGCAAAGACAGTAAACCCTAAACTGTCAAGGTACTTGGCGAGCTCATGGCCGATTCCACTGTCGGTTCCTATCAAAGAAGCCATTAAAAATATAAGTATATGTGTATGTGTATGTGTATGTGTATGTGTATGTGTATGTGTATGTGTATATATGCGTGCATGTATATATATATACCTATATATATATATAGGTCTTTGGTTATTCGGGTCTTCTCCCACGTAAAATTGGCGTCTTGGCGACGCCATGTCACATTGCTCCTGGAAGCACGAAGCCGAGAACACCAGCCTGAAGATGACGAATGAGACTTCGTCAAAACGTCGCCAAGACACTTCCAATTTTACGTGGGAGAAGACCCAAATAACCAAAGACCTACATACAAACACCAGTTTGAAGAACCGGTAGCGGAAATTTTGAGTAGTTCAGAGAACCAGCAAATACCACCTCTGGCTGGCCCCAGAGTGGTGTGTGAATGGAGATTTTGCAATATTCTTCCCCCAGGAGTGGGGAGGGAATGGGGATTTTGCCGTATCCTTTCCCTGCCACTCCCACCAAGCTACACCCACCAAGCCACGCTGACAGAACCGGTAGTAAAAAAGTTCAGATTACACCACTGGTATAACCTCCTTGGTACCAGCCCAATGCCTTAATCACTACATCTGTGGTGTTGAAATAAGTCACATTCACCGTCTAATTCTACCTGGGTTTTTTTTTTATTATTATTACTTGGGCTGATACCGACACAACAGCATAATTTGCAGCTCAGGGTTGAATTCGGGGTTCTTGGTGCTCTCTGAGCTTGGTTGTTTTCTTACAGACATTTCATTACCAAACTAGGTGACATCTTCACTGCTCTCTCTGAGTTTGGTTGTTTTCACAGACATTTCATTACCAAACTAGGTGACATCTTCACTGCTCTCTCTGAGTTTGGTTGTTTTCTTACAGACATTTCATTAGCAAACTAGGTGATATCTTCACTGCTCTCTCTGAGCTTGGTTGTTTGGTTGTAGGCACATCATTACCAAACTAGGCACTGAGGGTGTTGCCTAGTTTGGTAACGAGATGCCTGTAACCAAACAAAGCAAGCTCAGAGAAGGGCCCCACAAAGGGTATCCCCCAAAGGATGGGAGCCTAACTGCCATCTGAAAGGCTCTAGGGAGAAGAGTCCATCCCACATCTGGATAATGGAATCCAAGGTTAGATTTAGGATTGAGATCTCTTCCCACCGTGTAGCCAAATCTGTCTCTGTGAAACTTAACCCAGCCTGCGTCAATCAACCTAAAGAAGAGGGCAAGTCAACGTTTTTGACCAGAACAGCTGCCAAAGTGTGGTTTGCTTCCCTTTGCTGGGAATGAGCCATCCTGCTAATGCAGGGGTCTCCAACCTTGGCAACTTTAAGGCTTGTGAACTTCAACTCCCAGAGTTCCTCAGCCAGCAAAGCTGAGGAACGTAAAGGAACAAAAATAAATAAAAGAATAAGGGAGCGGGGGAGGACTTTTGGCCGTGACTGGTATTTATTTGGCTGTAAGGTATGTGAGCAGGAGTCCTTGTGGAATGTGGGAATGGAAATGGCACATGTCTGTCTCGACGTTCTTTTGCAAAAATTTCAAGTGACACATGAAATGGCTGAGGTTTCATCCATGGGGGCTAAATAGGACCATTTCTTTTTTTTTAAAACGTGGACATGAGAACTTTTGGTAGTGTCAATCCAGTTGTTCTCCAACACTCATCATGCAAACCGCAGGTTTTTTCCATTTCCAATGGCTAATAGACAATATGGGAGAAAGAGAGAGAGAGGGAGGGAGAGAGAGAGAGAGAGAGAGAGAGAGAAGGAGGGGGAGAGAGAGGGAGGGAGAGAGGGAGAGGGAGGGAGGGAGGGAAAGAGAATGAGAGGGGGGAGGGAGAGAGAGAGAGGGAGGGAGGCAGGGAGAGAGGGAAGGAGGGAGAGAATGAGAGAGGGGGTGGGAGGGAAGCAGGGAGAGGGAGGGAGGCAGAGAGAATGAGAGAGAGAGAGAGAGAGAGAGAGAGAAGTACATCTAATCTTTCAGCACAGCACCAAAAGGAAAGAAAACGGGGCACAAAAGTACCAATGCAATGGTGATCAACCTTCTATGGTTTTAGGTTTTCTGTTTCTCTGTCTCTCATTCTCATTTTGGGTTGCGTGAGAGAGAAAGAAAGAGAGAGAGTCGGAGAGAAAGAGACAGAAAGAGAAAAAGAGAGAAAGAAAGATGCAGAGAAAGAGTGAGAGTGAGCAAGAGAGAGATAGAGAGAGAGAAGGACAAAGTGGGAGAGACAGATTGAGAGGAGAGCGCATGAGGGTAAAACAGGGATATATAGAGAGAGAGAGAGAAAGAAGGAGGGAGAGGGAGGGAGGGAGGAGAGAGAAAAAGGAAGAAACATTGAGAGGAGAGAGACAGAAAGAGAGATATTGAGAGAGAAAGAGATTTACTATTATTTTCAGAGTCCATTGAGGAATTTTTTTCCCTTGCTCCATCCCGCCTGTGACATGCTCTTCTTGGCAAGGTGCTGTACCAGCAATTAAGCAATTTGTGTCAAGGTGCTATCCACACCCACCGCCACCCATTCCTGGACTTGGTCTGTTGCCATTTATCACCGACTGTTAAAAGCCACCTGTCAGATGCGAAGAGCTGCGCTAGTTAACCTTTCCAAAAAAGAGGATTAGGAAAAGGCTGCCCATTCCCTTTTTGCATGGGAAGAAAAGGGAGAAAAGGCCAGGTGACAGACTCAGAAGATCCCTAAATTATTTCACAGTTCAATAAAGGAGAACATTTGTAGCCCAGGGTTGAAATGAGGTGCTCTCTGAGCTTGGTGGTTTTCTTGCAGATGTCTCATGACCCAACTAGGGAACATTGTCAGTGCTAGAAGGGAAGGGGATTTGCAGAGAGGAAGAGGAGGAGGATGGTGGGGTCCTCAGTGCTTGTTGAGCTTGGTGGTTTTCTGGCAGACGTTTCATGACCCAACTAGGGAACATTGTCAGTGCTAGAAGGGAAGGGGATTTGCAGAGAGGAAGAGGAGGAAGAGGAAGATGGTGGGATCCTCGGTGCTCACTGAGCTTGGTGGTTTTCTTGCAGACGTTTCATGACCCAACTAGGGAACATCATCAGTGCTAGTTCTTCATCATCATCTAGCCCTGATGATGTGCCCTAGTTGGGTCATGAAACATCTGCGAGGAAACCACCAAGCTCAGTAAGTACCAAGGACACCTCACCATTTACAGCTCCTGCATCAGAAAGTATCCTTACCCCAAAAACCCATGCCAACCTTCACACATGTCCAAAGTATCCTCAAAGTATTTCAATCTGAGGAGCGGGGAAAAATACATCCTTATTTCTACATCAGGCAAAGCAGATCAATCCACCTTCATGAAAGAAAAGACGTTAGCTAAGGAAAACCCAAGCCCTCTAGAAAAGTTCTTTGAGAGAAGACGGCGCCAATTCCAACTTGGCCATTCCACTCGAGAAGGTGGGACAGCCAGCCCATCCTTAGACATTCCATCTCCCTTACCTGTGATCAGCACCGCTTTATGGCTGACGGGCAGCATCGCTTGCGCAGGAGTGTACCACCAAAACACGAGGCACGCCAGGGAGAAGAGACCCAAGCCCAGGGAATTTCTCAAGGTGGTGAAGCAGAGGACTTCCAGGGTCAAAAGCAACAGGAGTCCCCAGAGGAAAGGAGGGGCTTTCTCCACTCGGTTCTTCTTCGCTCGATAAAAAATCGTGCCACCGTAAAGCACCGTGGCTCCCATGTAGAAGAGCAGAGAATGATCAAGTTCAGCCTGGTACAAAACCATGACAGAACGGCTCAGACAGGCACTGAAAAGGAAAACAAAAACAAAAAACAAAAGGAAAGACAAAAAGGAAAGAAAAAGGGGGGAGGAAAAAAAGATCCTTGGTATTAAAAAAGTAGATTTAAAAAGGAAAGTTCCTAGGACGATTCACAGCCCAGGCAAAGGTGTCTGATGTCTCCAAGCAGGAAAGAAGCATCTGAAAAAGGACTTGACAGGCAGTGAAACAGCAAATCTTGAAACTGGGGTGGGTTTTATCTGTTCTGGCCGGCTTTGCCACGCCAGGGTGATAGTGGGGGAAACTTCGGATATTTGCCTTCACTTCATTTTAAGTTGTTGTCCCCCCACCTCTTTTTATTGCAGGAGGGCTCCACCTTCAGAAGGATATACACACGCACACACGCGTGCGTGCAGAGAGAGAGAGAGGGTGGGAAAGAGAGAGAGAGAATCAGAGGCAAAGAACAAGCTTTGGATAATGTTTGACAGAGCCAAGACCCAGCAAGAAGCAGCAAGTTTTGTCCTAAGGGAAGTTAGAAAGGGTGACATAATTGACAGGTTTGCAGCTGAGGCACTTCAGGGAAAAGTGTGTGTGTGTGTGTGTGTGTGTGTGCACGTGTGTGTGCCACCGCACTCTGGAGCTGACCTGTTCCCTTTGATGTGCAGCCTTCCAACTGCCCACGGATTTAATGAGGGCACACGCTTCTCTTTCATCAACTCGTTGTTAGCTGGAACCGAGGAACTTAATTAGCACAAACGAACACACTCCAAAGCACAACTTCATTGGAAGGGCAATACCACAAACCTTCCACTTTGATGGGGGCGGGGGGGGAGATCTTTATAAAGTTGCCTAGGTTACGGAGAAGGTGCATAGTTGTTATTGTTGTTGTTTGTCATCTCCCCGCATCTCCTGCGGTTCTAGAATTCGCAGGTGATCCCATGAAGGTGATTGTTGATAGACAGACAGACAGGCAGACATGGAGGGTGGGAGATGTTTAGAAGGAAAACGAAGAAGAAAAAGAAATCCTTACTCAGCAATAAATTTATGGGTTAATGTGAAATACAATCGCTGTCTCTCTACTGGACAGTGGAGGAAACTCCACTGGGGAGGCTAAGGCTATGGTGGGTTACCATAAATTGTCCGGTTTTCCATTTGGACTTCATTTATTTTCTTTATTTCAACTCCCCCCCCTCCCCCAATTGAGGCACACGACGTGACTTCTGTCCACAACTGCCCCAACCTTACATTTTCCCTAATCCAAAGACTAGATAAGTTTAATGGAAGCTTCAGAGCAGATAACCAGAACAAGGTGGGCAGAGAGGATTTCGTAGGGATCGTTTAAATGGAGACACCGGCGCTCAGATCTTAGTTAGAAAGGAACACACAGCATACACAGAGCCTCTGTTAACCCACAACAGCTTTATTGGAGTCAGTTTGCTTAAGAGTTACTCCTACAAGTAGATCTTTACTCATGGTTTCCCCCCACTGCAAATTGGGCTGAGAAAGAGCAGATGCCAGAATCCAATCAGAACTTCCAGGAATGGTGAAGTCAATCAAAGTCCCTCAAAGCTTCCCGTTTAATCCCTGACCAGCCTTCCTTTTTATATCTTCTCTGCCTTCTGTTGGCCATTAGATGTTCAGTTGCATGGCAGTTCTTATCTTTAGTGGTTGTCACTCCAAGTCTGTTCTAGATGGATTGCTTCCTGGTGGCCTCCTGCCCAGCCGTTCTTATTTCCAGACTTGATCTGGTTGTCTCCTTGCTTTTCACCTTCCTCTGCAAGTCTATATTTTCCCGCTCAAAATTTCAATAATCTCTCTCCTCCATTTTCTTTTCACAGTATTAGACCTACAGCGAAACCTGGTCCAAAGGACAGCCACTCATTGAGAGCCTATTCCTGGGAAGAAACACCGAGAGACAAGACCTTCCTGTCCATAGTCACCTCTGTTTTTCCCAGAAGCTGTTGTTCGAAAGTTGACCTAGATGGACATTTGCTAGAAAGTACTGCCTGTAACAAGCCAAATTCTAGAGAAAGAACAATTTGAGCTCATTGACAGAACAATCAATGTTTTGTTAAACAGAAGCTCAGGGAATGCTTTATTGATGCCTGAACCTCTGGGCAAGTCTGCACTTTTGTCTAATATTTGAACAATGGAGATGGATCCCTGTTTTTAATCTGCAGCTCATGATAACTATGAATAAGAGAAGTTTTTTTTTTAAAAGGAGCACTTCTGGATGGAGAAAAGGGAATTGGCCAAGGCACCACAAAGACATTGGGACAGGAAGGACTGATGTAGAACTAAAGTGGTATCGGGGCTTGGAATGATGGCCTTCAGGATGCCAAAAACTCACCGATTGGTAGAATTCCATCTCTATAGAAAGTTAAAGAAGGGGATGAAACAAAGGATTCGGGGGTACAAATAATGCTCAGCTGCCTTCTTCCCCTCCCCCAAGGGTGTCATCCAGAGGAAATAAGTGACCTGTTCCCACAATTTTGGCTTAATTTCCTGCCTTTGTTCAAAGTTTTCTCCATCGTCAGTCAGTAAAAATGACACAGGAGAATTTACAGGAAAACGAACCCGATTCGAGAGCAATGACAGACATCTTTCTCTCTCAAGGAGCTGCTTGACTCCGTGCTTAAAGAGGAATGACTGTTTTCATGAACCGCTGGCATTAACAGTTCTCCGTTGAAGGTCTCTACTTTCATGATACAACCGGCAGCTTCAATTATCTTGAAGTTATTCCAGACAATGTGTCATGACGCAGAGGACTGACGCTGTTTTACCAGCAGAAGAAGAAGAAGAAACCTCCAGCTCTTGAGGTCACGCCTGAAGATGTCCAAGTGAAGGAGGGTTAAATAAAGCCATGTTCCTCCACAAAGGCCAAAAGGGTTATTGGGTTTTTCTTCAAGCAGAGCAGAGAGATGATTAAATGGTTAAATGAACCCTGCATGGAAAGGAGCTTCAAGCACATCAGATGTCTGTGTGGACAAATATTAAAGCCAGAGACTATCAACCTTCTCCCCCCACCCCTCCAAGTTTCAAAGACATGGCTTGCGGTGAGATATCAAAAACAACATCAAGTCATTTATACTAAATTTAAATGGTGGGAGACAACAGGAACAAAGCACAGTTGTTTCTCCCCAGCTTAATGTTCTTAGGAAAACTTGAAAATGTGATTTTGAGTCTAGCGCTAGGTAAATATTTCTGCTTTCTCCCATGTTTACTTCCGTTCAATAGTAACGTTCTCCCACAAAATGTATGAAGGGTTTCTTCAATATTGGGAAGTCTTTGGGGAGGGGGGTGAGGGAAGGAACCAAGCAACATCCTTGCCTTATTGGTAAAAGCCAAACTGAGTAAACTGAGCTACTCTCTGCAGATCTCAGATTAAAAGAGGTGGAAGGGGCCTGGTAGGCCAGCTAGTCAGTTCTAGGCTGCATAAACAGAGGGATAGAATCAACATCACGTGAAGTGTTAATATCGCTTTATAAGGCCTTGGTAAGGCCACACTTGGAATATACTGCATTCAGTTTTGGTTGCCACGATGTAAAAAAGATGTGGAGACTTTAGAAAGAGTGCAGAGAAGAGCAACAAAGAGGATTAGGGGATTGGAGGCTAAAACATATGAAGAACAGATGCAGGAACTGGGTATGTCTAGTCTGATGAAAAGAAGGACTAGGGGAGACATGATAGCAGTCTTCCAATATCTCAGGAGCTGCCACAAAGAAGAGGGAGTCAAGCTATTCTCCAAAGCACCTGAAGGCAGGACAAGAAGCAATGCGTGGAAACTAATCAAGGAAAGAACCAACCTGGAACTAAGGAGAAATTTCCTGACAGTGAGAACAATTAATCAGTGGAACAACTTGCCTCCAGAGGTTGTGAATGCTGCAACACTGGACATTTTTAAGATGAGGTTGGATAACCATTTGTCTGAAGTGATGTAGGGTTTCCTGCCTAAGCAGGGGTTGGACTAGAAGACCTCCAAGGTCCCTTCCAACTCTTGTGTTGCGTTGTGTTGCATTACGTTGCGTTGCATTGCTACCACCAGCTACCAAGCTCCCCCAGGGTTTACAATAAAACATAAAAGCAAAAAATGAAAACCAGAGATATATAAAAAAAAAAACAATTCAAGACCACATCTAACATAATTAAAATCAACCATCATAATCCATGCTTTCAACCTGCATTTATGAAACGTGTGTTGGCAGGACATTTTTCCACCCCAAAGCCAAGGAAGGAAAACACAGAAACTTGAGAAGGTTCTGCACAAACTGAAATTTCAACAAGGAAGGCCTCATTGTCAAGTTGGAATTTATTTAAACCTGGAAGATGGCACGTACGTACCATAAGTCATCCCTTCCGGAAGGGATACAGTTGTTATATCCAACAAATGGCTTATTTTGAAAGGTAGAACATAGGAGTGGAAGGGACCTTGGAGGTATTCTAGTTTAACCTCCTGCTCAAGGCAGGAGCCTTATACCATCCCAGTCCAATGGTTGCCTAGACTATTTTTTGTGAAAATCTACAGTGATTCCTACCTATAATTAATGAACCACACATTCTACCACGAGAAATATTTGGCAACCATTCTGATGATTTCAAGGGAAACCATATGTGAGGCTTGGCCTTCTCAGGTGTTGACATGTCCATGAAGAACACTACAAGTTTTCTTTCTGTTAGGATGAGATCTTTTGTGATAACGGTTTTATCTAGAAATACAAAGCAATCAGGATAGGAAAGCATGCAGGCATTCTTCCAAGGCAGTAAATCTCCTAGCTCTTATCTGGTTTCTCTTGGCAGTTTAACTCCCTCTGGTATTTTCCCATTAGTTGTGTAGATGACCAAATAAAGACTCTAAATTACAGGTTGTCCCCTTCCATAGATGGTGAAAACCACATTAAAAATACAAGGACATGGTTTTGATTTTCCAGGAGCATTAACATAATTCTGGGTTTTAATTCTTATCTACTATTTTGTCATATAAATTAACTCCCCACCCCCTGAAACTGTCAGGAAAAAAATCCTTTCTTCCTAGATCTTGGGGATTGGAACATGAGAGAGAGAGGGGGGGTGAGAGAGGGAGCGAGAGAGAGAGAGAGAGCATCCATTATTATTCTTACACATTAGTATGGTTCATCACACAAATATTCAAACTGGATTTGCCATTTTTGTCCACCTATTGGACAAAACCTCGGGTAGGCAGATGTGAATGTTTGATGGTTTTACAAGTCTTTTTGCAGGAGGTAAGCTGTTCCACGTAATTGCCACACAATTGACCAGATGTTTAGACTGGATTTGGCATTTTTATCCCTCTTTCTGAGTCCTTTGCAAGGGCTTGGGATAGGCAGATATGGTGTTAGCGGTATTGTCGCAGGATGTAAGCTGTTCCAAATAAAACTGTCAGTCAAACTTGCAATTGACTGAAGGGTAATTTTGTCAATGCCCATAGTGGTGCTCCCGATGTTTTGGAAAGCCACCCAAGGCACTTATTAACTGTTGGATAGTATCTTTGTTTTCTTTTACACAGTTG